ACTATGAAATTAAAATAACCGTTGAATCATGATAAATTTGCATTATTATTGAATAATATATATTTTAATGTACGTTGAAAATGATTGTCATATTTTTTTTGATGTACGTCAAACAATGTACCTAAATACATCAGGTATATATTTTTTTAAAGTAGACACATCTAGAATATCACAACAACCACAATAATACATTATTTAAATAGATAAAAAAATTAGATAAAAACATTAATATATTCCCCTGAATGATTAAAACCATTAGTAACTATACCAGATAAAAAATAATTTAAAAAATAGAAAACAATATAAATGTGTATTTATGACACAAAAAACTAAACAATTAACCTATGCTTGGGTCTTTGGCTACTTCTCAAATAAACAATAATCGTGTATGAATTAACAATATTTCAATATAAAATCACCGAAACGCTGAATAAATTATAATATATATTTTGTATGTTTATGTAAGGATTAATTATTATGTAATATATTTTACTATAAATTAATAATAATTATGAATATCAAAATAAATGTTTAGTTTATTGGTGATAAAAACAAAAATGTAAACCAAATTACTTAAATTGTATTTTCAACTAATGGACTATACGAGAACTTCCGTATATATTTAACTAGGTTTTTGTTTTGAATTCGGAAGAAGTTTAAAAGTCGTGAACTAGAAAATAATTCTGAAAATCAACACAACGACAAACAAGAAAATATCAATTTACAACTTAAAAAAACCACTTACACCCTTTAGAACGTATAAATACGCTGCTAGAAACATTAACTTATACTTATATAATTTATATGAGGCATCCACGTTGGGCTTTCTTAAGTATCATGTATTCATGTTAAATGAAATTGAATACTTATTTATAAATAATTTGGTGGTGTTTTCCAGTGGCGTACCAAAGAATTTGTTAATCCAAATACCTCTAATAATTTTTATTTTTAATTTGGTCTTCGAAAAGAGTATAGTTTATTTTATAATTAACTGATGCATTCATGAGAAATTTTATGCTTAGACAAATTCATGTTATTATTTATAATAGAATGGCTGATTATTGAATTTAAAGGTGTATGTCGTGTATGATATTATCCATAATAGGGTCACAAGGGTATGTTTTTTTTTCATATTTAAATATTTTAAGGCAAATGTACATAATTTATTTGCCAGACTAAATTTTAACTACACCAATTTTTGTTTTCTAACCTTTTGGATCAGTAAAACTGTTTAAATGTTAAACTTTTCAAGGTGGTTTCTGACCGAAAATTCAATCTAGTTGATACTTTGGTAGGAGGGCAACAATTTTAAGTTATTATGGGTACGGGTTCAACCCCCTCGCCCCCTGGGCGGACTTCGCTGACGTCTGCCTGTAACTGTAAGCCTATGTTATAATAAAATAACGGATAATTTCGTTACACCGAGCATTAATCATTATTCATTATTATTGTTTTTAAAAAAAAAAATAATCAACGGTTGATTAATTAAAAATAATGATAATAATACCCAATAATAATAATAATGTTACAAACCCGTGATCACTATATACTATTATACATATTTACTTAGCGGGTGTTCTAAATATCTTCATTAACCATAGGAGTATCGTCATCTTTAAATAACATAGATTCTTACAGAACACTGTACAGATATAATAGGGCGAGGTCGGACCTTTTTTTTTGATTGCTCGTTTATACCGAATTACCCGCGGCGGCTGTGGCACGAGATCGCCACCGGTAATAATATATATTATATTGTAACAACTACACTGCGGAGAACAGAAGACACGCGATATTTACAACGGTCGAAAGATATATTAAATAATATGACGTACACAACAATAATATACTACTGCTTTAATAATATTATAGATAGGTGTATCGGAGACGTGGGTCGGTATAGTTAACGGTGGCATATTATTATAATGGACCACGCAAGAAGGGAATATAATATATTAGCGACTATATTATGTACCTACTCAACTATTAAAATACCTTGTTTTTTTGTAATAATTTAAACGCTGATGAACTGCTTGTGCTAGTATATTATTATTATGAAATATAAAGTCATATTGGATAATAGAACACTACATTTTTTTTTCGATCTTAATAAATAGATACATGATATATATACTATATAGTTACTAGGAAATCGCCTCTCCAACTGCAGACTTTATTATTATTATTATTATTATTATTATTATTATTATTATTATTATTATTATTATTATTATTATTATTATTATTATTACTACTATTATTACTAGTATTATTATTATAAACAATAAATGTCCGAACATGTACATGAACACGCTGCTGTATAGCAGCAGGTGGCAGGTGTGCAGTGCAAGTAGTAAAATATGCCGCCACCGCCGTCTCGGTGCTGTAACGCGTGTTTTTATGATTTAAGTACTACAGCGCTCGTGAATCGTATATAATAATAATATAATCCACCATTAATTCACATCATATATACAGTGGCGCAAATAGACGATAGGGGAGGCACTAAAGTACCTACTGGTAAAAACAATTTAAATCGTAACGGATATTGAGCTGATATATTCAGAAAAAGCCTCCCGAAATCGTGGAAGGTTAAAAACAAACGAATATTCAGAAGAGGGTAGGGGCATAGGTTAAAAAAAGCTATTATAAACTTGCGCTACTCACAAGGTGGTTTGGTTAAATTGTATGAACCTATTGTAAATATCGCTTATTATAATTTAAATGGTGTTATAAATAAATGTATGTAATTTTAAAATCCAATGGCCATAAGTTGTCAATAGGATAATTCAATAATAACAATAAATCTATTTATCCGCTCGAGGCGAGTTTAAATATCATTTCCAGTTAACCTATACATATATTATAACACAATATTATGTTATGCGTGTTAGTTTTATATTATGTTAGTTGTGCCTGCATACGTGTATATATCGTTCTCTACCTCCGCTGTCGTTCTGACATTCTACATATATTATACGTAATATAGATGGTTTGAAAAGCGAAGGGTACGAATGTGGACCTGACTTGAGTACAAAACGCGTCGTATCGTCGACCATGGCCAGCACGTCCTATCCGGAGTGTTTATAGGTTCCCTGTGAGCTGCAGTATGCGTCGAACCACTCGATCGGAGTTCTTCATCAAAGTCCGAAGCGCGAGAGTCAGTTTAATATTATAATAATACACATTTATACGATACATTATTCACGTTCAATACGCGGCACTGCTGCATTGGGCTTACTATTCAATTTCGATGGTCGTCCTCGCACATAATATTGTATTGTGATAAATGATAATATACAATAAAGCGTTTTGTGTTATATAATAAGTACAGTATAGTACGTCATACAGGCCGCCGCCGAGCCATCATCGTCACACGGCGGCGACGGCGACTAACGAGTAACGAGTTCGGCATTGAACTCTGAGATATTTTTTCCTTTTTGTACAAGTTATAATCGACCTACATTCGACAGGCATGCTAACCTGTAGTATATTATTATGTATTTATAAATGTTTACACAGGTACCTCTGACCATGCACAGCGGATATATAGTGAACAATACGCGTAAAGTAAGTACTATATAAGTACTCACTATCGAAAGGATAACGATCGAAACCCGACGCGGATACTGATTTTGTCAAACATGTCCTACCTACAGCGTATGCGTTCCCCCACGGCCAAGGCAAGGAGGCCTGGGTCAGCATTGGGCAAGAACACTATATGATTTAACCATTTAAACCGATGATTGAAGGTTACAAAATATATTTCATCTAAGATTTGGTGAAAATTGATATTATACTCTAATAAATAAGCGCTAATTGGACTTGGTAAGGATAACACTTAAGGATTATAACTTTAGTATACACATTAGTTAATTTGAAAATAAAAAAAAATTGATTATGAAAAAAACTAGTTGTGAAACTAATCAAACGCCATGATCAATTCTCACGCTTCATATTTATAAATTGTATAAAATATATTATTTTCTAAATAATGTTTATACATAGTAATTAATTATATTATAAAGACCCATATAAATATGAAAATCGAATCTTTATTAACTAATGTCTTTAACTAATATAGAGTTTGAAATGTTTTCGCCCAAAACTGGATGCAGGTTGTCCAATCTTGGGTATTGAGATTTAAGTTAATAGTTCTTTATGTTATTATTATTATTATTAGTTGATAATAGTACTTGATATAGTTAACGTCTCATGTCGACAGGCGATGAACTTTAGTAGGAGGAGTATATGTCTCCAAAAATAACCTCAGCAGTACATTTAACTTCCAGTATATAACCGCCACTGCGTATAGTAATATGGTTTATTCATTGTTTTTAATACGGTGTGCCCACAACTCGGGCATAATATATAATATTATATATATATATATATAGAACTACCTGCACGGCGCAGCAGTATAGCAATAATGTATGGAATAAAAGTTCGAAGCGATGTAAATCGAACAGAGATATAAAAAAAATCAATCTCGATCACAATAATGAACTAGATCTACAGTACCTATATGGTGTATATACATTATACATTAAATGTGTTCGCGTGGCCACCCATTCAAAAGCGTAATATTATTGTGCCATGAACAATATTTATATACATATACATAGTGTACGTCGTGTACATGAATAATATGTGTATATGTTATGAGGAATCGCGAGCACGCGGGCGTGATAGCCGCTGGCTTTGCTTGTGCCGTTAAATCCTATTCGTATATTATGTATATACTGCGTACTATAGATAGATACACAAAAGTGTACGGTATACGAGTACGCGCGACCGCTCATTGTTTTTGAAAAGTGATATCGAAGTAGACGTTTGAAACGCTCCGTATGCATAATAATGGTAGTAATAATTTATCTGCAGGGTGTTCGGTAGAATGAGTATGTAGGGTAATTTAGTAATTATGTAAAACGAATACCGAGATCGAGAGGTGTCATAAACATAGTAATAATAATAATAATAATAATAATAATAATATTTGAATATCCGCGCGCCCGCCGCCCGGTGCATTGCTGCAGAAGACTAAGGAAAAATAACTTCTTACAGCGTAGGCGCGCATAGTCAAGAGTGTGAGGATTTAAGCTATTTTACACCATCAACTTTTTACGACCCCACAGCATATACACGACTATTGTGTACAATAACCCCGCACTGCAGACCAGTTATATTATATCAATTCTCGTTTGGTGTGTGTACAAACATAACAGTAAAACTCGGAGATAAAACTGTCGAAACCCAAATAATTAGTATATATGTGCGTTGGCATCAAAAAGTGAAAATAATCATCTTAGGTTTATACCTATTTGATTTTGAATAAAATTATACACTGGCCACTATAAGATATGGGTGACTGCAGTCACTGCACAGAAGTGTATCTACTTATTTTTGAATTTTAGAAGAAATGCGTGGATGGTGGACGTAAAGTATAAAAGGTAAATAACTCGTTAACGCATATCTATAGATCTAGTAGTTGTTAAAATGAATCTTACAATGGTGTAGACTTTTTTTTAATCAAAGACGTTTTCGCCTAATGATCATAAAATCAACTATGGCGTAGAACATAATGGTTTTTCCGTCACTTGTTATCTAATATATCGATTATTGTCTTAAAACGTATTGAAATCGACCGTTTCATTATAATATAATATTATACATTCAACATAATAATCAAAAACGACAACGAGAATGTTGAGAATTTCATTATTCACTTGAAGTTACGAACAATAATGTAATAAATAGTATATATACAAATATACATAATACATACCTATTCAACATCGTGTTAGAACAATAGTGTCACCACTGCGCTACATTATAGATTCCTTATCCAGTGGCCAGCACCCAATTAAATTCAAAACTAATTTCAAAATCAATTATTCCCCCTCTTAATAATATAACATTATGTGTCATTCATTATACAAGCAATTCAATTTTACCTGTGTTTGAACTATATTCTCCGATGTATCTCTTTGTCAGATATCGAACCGTGACAGCTGTAACAAAATAAAATATTCATATTAATTAATTACTCGTTGAGTTCAATGCATTTAAATTGTATCATAATAAATCAAAACAAATACATTAGAATTCACAATTTTACTATTGTAACTCGTTACACATTATAGTGATGACTGATAATAATGTATTGTAGTTTGTAATGAAAGTACTATATAGTCAATGGACTACTATATAATAATACATATTAGTACCCACCTACAGTAAATATTAATAAATAATTGAGACAATTATGATTCAAGTTTTTGTGCAATTATAATTTATAAGTATAATGACGAGATTGTACACAGTTATTATTTATTACCAAATAAATTGTGTGAATTTGTTTTTTGAATAATGATTATCAATACTCATTTCCTTATTTATATGTTCGTACACCTCCGATGATGTATTTAGTTACAACTGAGTAGTTTGTTTTACTCCATAGACCAGTTATTTTGTGTCCGTTAATAAACATAAATATTGAATACATAATAATATATACCTATACGTGCACAACAAGCCATAATTTTCATTTATGGCTTCATATTAATTACTAATGGCATACGTAATTATATCTTAAGATACCACTGTTATTTAAATTAGTAAATTTCAGTATATTTATTTATCTAAATTGCAATAAATTGATTTAGATTAAATTAATGCACGAAGTAATTAATACAAATACTATATAACTGTAATCTATATTATAATTTATAACTAATACGAATATAAAATGAATGGCAAGTATATTTTTAAAAAACACCGTAGTCAAAACAAGATTTTAATAATCAGTTACGACCACCTCTCATCGACACACGCCCGTACCTATATCCTAGGACTCAGAGAAATCAGTTTCGGTTCGATGACAGCGGAAAGTCGTATTTTAGAGTAACTAAAACGGCGCGGAAGAACCGTGAAAATCTGCCTTAGTTTGCTTTTCCGTGTATGATGTTTTCAAACGATCTGAACACCAAAAATTAACTAGAAAAATTAACAATTCCATGGGCTTGATGGATACTGCAGTGCGATTTTTCGAACATGTTCACGGCTCATCTCAATTTTGTGCCTAAATTAAGCATTCAAATTCTGAATTTTGGAATTTCTAAACGTATTGACTATATAGTTAAAGACGATATTTTCAAGTGCTTACTTAGATTTTTCACAATGTACAGGGTGGGAAAAACTAAGCTGTACAAACAACAAATACGCGCCAGTGTGTGTGCCTCAATAATAATGCAATAATAAAGCACTAATGTGTGATAAAAAAATTCCGACATCATCTATACAGCCCTACAGATATTATATTATTATATTGTAAGTACCTATGTAGGCCATATTATATATTGTTGCGTTGACATATCTACAGCGGGATCTGACATTGAACACTATACGCTTGCGGTTTGTCAGGTCGCATCACTCACCACAACCTTCTATATATTATTAAAACGACAATCCAATAAAATGATTACCTATTAATGTTTGACGTGTGTGTGTATAGGTACGGCATACCTGTACAGCGACGACGAGGTGTATGCATAATGATAATACGAGTCGAAATTTTCATTCAACACTTTTTTATATGGTTGGTCTGTGTACACGTTGTAATCGAATCAGTTTTCGTGTTTCGATACTTTTGTACTACGATCAAATATCTCTCGTGAGAGAAAGAAAAAATACGATTTTTTATTCATTCGACAAATTAGTATTATTTATGATTATGTTACTACTATAGGTAGCTAATTATAATACCTATCTTTCATAATAATTCACTATGCATTAGTCGTCAGGAAATATATTGCACTAACAAATTGTTAAGCATATATAATAAATTCGAACAAAATGTTACACAATAGGTTTAATTTATTATATTTGTTCTTTTTTTTCTATATACCTATATATATATTACATATGTGCAGAAGTAAATGCCGAAATTGATGAAACGACATACTATTTGTCTCAAATTAGTATGTAGTTTTCATTACAAGCTACATCTTATATATGTTCAAATCAAATGTGAAACTTCGCTTACATAAAATGCATTAGGTTTATGTACCTACACTGTATAGGTAGGTACATATTATTATAGTACACTGTGGATTACTGAAAACAATTGCACAGCACAATAATGCAGGTATATATTATTATTATATATTTGTAATAGTTGAAAATGTTTTTTCCCATTGTTAAATTATCCACAGTGGGCGATGTCAAACATTTGTACAGATAGACTGAGAGAGTATTGACCAACAAACCACCTCTTAAGTTTTCGAGAAAATATTTTAGTTCTTGTTTTACAATATTTTTAATTATTAAAGCAAAATATGTAATTGAGGTATTCATATTATTACGTTTAACAAATGACAGAAGTCGTTACATGGTATGTATCAAATAATTTCCTTTAATTTGTTATTTTTCATTCGAATAAACGACAAAAATAAAAACACTTGAGGATCATCAGTTAGAAGATCGTACATTTTAATTAATTAATTTAAATTATGAATATGCGTTATTCAACATTATTTCATATTATACGTCTTACAGCATTGAATAATTTGAATATCACAAGACAACATTTATAATACTACTCTTGTATACGTAACGACATACGTTATAACATGTCAACAATAATGCACACTCATGAATTACTTTCATCGTGAATATTCTATATCAAATATACTTACTGTGGACGCAGCTATACGTTGGTTTATACACCACTGCTAAAGAAAAAATAAATAATAATAAAACTGCATGTAAGTTCTTTAAACAAATATCAGTAAAATAATTTGATCGACGTAAACGAAAATTTGATTAATGAATCAAATTGTTGGGTAAATAATATTATGTACATTCTGGTTTTTAAAGTTGTACTCGACAGACGACCATACACCTTAAAAATAAATGAACGATAAAGATGTTTTATCAATTAAAAAGGTCAACCGCTTATTTGCATTCATTTAACAGGGAAAGATTTGAAAATCCCAACAAGATTCCATACACAGAATATTTTAAACAAGGATATAAATATTAAATTGAAGTAAGTAAATAGTAGATACCTATATATTATGATTGATACAATTTTTTAAAATAATTTTCGGTGTACCTTCTTCTACATTTATTTTACTCTATTAAATATTAACTAATTATTGCTTAGTAAACAAAGAAAGAAATGGTTATAATTAATTAAAAATTTTTTCTCTTATATGATTCATAAGTTGCAGTCATACGAGTACTTATATTAGAATATCAAACATGCAACAGTGAGAAATCTTGACCGATTATATTTAATTCAAAGAGTAATGGATATTTATAATATTATGCTTAGAGAATAACATATAAAAAAAATGAATAAACGAAATTCGGAATTTGATGACAATATTAAAAAATATATAAAAACGTAAATTTTATTTTAAATTTTAATTAATTGTAATATAATATATCTACCATGAGTAATTTATTATTTTAGTTGCATTGCATTAGTGCAGAGCAAAGTTTGAGAAATATTAGTCGCTGTAATAAGGCATACACACTTAAATTGTTGTAAAGTAATATAAGCCAGTATAAAAACAATTAAAATAGTTAAAAAACATTAAACAAACAAAAAAAACAAAAAAACAGAAATAATGCGGTGGTTAAATACTACAAAAAGCTGGCGACCTGCAGCCATATGCATTTATAATTATAGCTTAATTATTTGTGGCAGTGGTACTACCTACTAAATGCTGAACGTTAAGTCATACACTAAACAAAAACCAGGTCATTTCAGATACTGACCTTGTACTATATTATATTATGTATCCTAGATTTTGGTAATCTTCAAAAGTTTTCATAAACTCGGTCATCCTTTATTATTACATCGAATATCACCTTTCGCCCGAGGGAGGCTATACGTACGTCGTATATATATATATGTGTGTTATATATACATATTATTTCCTAGTCTCCCTTCAAACACAATATCACCCACATCTATATAGTTGGCTGGGAAATAAACGGGTCAAGGATCTGAAAGGTCTGGGTCGGAAAAAATACCATTCCAGTGCGAATACTTGGAGAAAAAAAAGATATCACTTTCTATATATTATATTATATTAGTATTATTATTATTATTATTATACTGTCAGGCCATAATAGTTGTTTATCAGAAGTGTATTTGACGGATAATCGAATATCAGCTGTAATAATATAATGGTAAAAGTAAAATAATTTTCTTTTTTATACATCTCACACATAATGATGCGTATGTTGTTTTGAAATTTCTTAGAATAGTAAGGACCATATGGACACGTCTTATGTCTAAATCAGTAGATACGTTACAATATATATATATATATTTCAATAACTGTATGTAATATACCTATACACATGTATGGATGTTGAATATACATAATATTGACCGTTATTGTCCAGACGTTGGAGATAAGATTTCTTTATTTTTCATGTAATGTCGTTTTGAGCTTGATAATAAGTAATAACCAATGAGTATAGGTTGATCATAGAGATATGGACATTTACTTCGATGGTAATTTATGCTGAGAATTAAACCCCAGACCGTCATTTTATTCATAAAAAAAAAATAGAGAGACGAAAAGACGATGCCAGTATAAATAATAATCATCGTCAACTGAGAGCAGTGACTTAAATCTAAATACAACTTTTATAAACCATGCAAAATTAAACATTGGTAAGTCATAAATAATATTCCAATAATATTATATTATATATAAGTAGTTAATGATAGTACAGTTTTCAAAGTGATCCATCAACTATAAAAATGTTTCGTTTACTAGATTATGTAAGGTTTATTTAATCCTTGTACTGGGCATGTATACCTACTATGTAAGGGCTTATTCTATAATAGGCTTATATAAATCTGTATTAAAGGCTATGGTTTACAAAGTTTCTCAAATCATATCCCTCTCTTTACTCTAATGCATTAATAGTAATCACAACATCATAAATATTGCTATAAGATATCTAAATAGATAATAAATGTATA